TCACTGCTCTCTGCAGACAGCAGAAGAAAATAATAGCTTTAAAACTGAACGGGACAGAGGAAGGACATGTCAACCCTAGGGTTCCTCAGTAAAACCTGAGGATTCATCTCCCATCCTCTAAAAAAATATACACCAGTATTTGAGTCACATTATTTGTGTAAAGGTAATGTTATAGCAAATATTATTGTATTAAGCAAATGATTCTGTATTAAAGTTTTGAGGGTTTGGATTTTTTTTCCCCAACACATAAGAAGGCTTGAAACTTTGTTATGATATATCACACCTTTGAAGAAACACTCTGCTCTAGGCATGGTCAGGGATGCAAGCTTTCTTCATTTTTTTTTGGTGTAATTAAAAAATAAATTATATTAACATGCTCAGTTTTCAATGCTCTGATGGCATAATTTATATGGCAATAGTCTTTGCAGAACAGTGGTAGTTATCAATATACTGACAGGATCGGAAAAAAAAAAAGCTATTCCTTTAATGTCTGCAAATTCTAGAAGCTTATACATAGTTCAAGTCTTGATATAAAACAGTTTTGAAATTCTGACCTTGGAGGAAAATAAATTTAGATGCATAAGGAAGATTATCTAATGAATCTTAGAGATAGTGTCGATTACATTTCTTTGTACTTAAAAGCTGCTCTTATCCATGAGGGAAAGAGTAATGACTCAATCAAAGGAATTGCAAACACATTTGCTGGTGAATTGTTTTGCTCAGAAATTAATATTTTCTTTAAGGTGCCTAGCACTCATCTGTTCTCCCTTTTTTTGTGTGTTTGGGAAAAAAAAAAACAGAGGCCTGGTTATGATAGAAACTGAAATGCTTTATTTATGCATACAATACTTGCTGCACACAGCGGGAACATAGACTTTTCCTTCCCTGCCAATATCTCTCAGTCACAGAGAGACCACCTGTGTAGCATGTGTACATATTTTAACAAAAAATGTTTCATAGCAAAAAGTTTTTTTCACTTCATAAATAGAAGGGAAGCAAAGAGAGGAAAATGGGGCTGGGGTGGAATTAAGGATAATTCAGGAAAAGAAGCAACCCTAATTTATTAACTAGAAACTGAGTGAAAGATAGTGATAGATGAACAAATAGAGAAAAGGTGGTTGAGAGAGTTTGGGAATTATTGTATTAAAGTATAAGAAAAAATATTGTGATCACATAAAGGAGATAGATGTTGTCTGTAAAAGGCTTCTGAAAAAAAAGTGGGACAAAATCAGTGTCTGTAGAAAAGAGTTTTCATCAGTCTAATAACATGAAGAAAAGGAGATGAGAGTTAATGTCTTAATGTCAAAAAATGTGTTGTCTTGAGATCAACTGCAACAGAAATTTTAGCAGTAATTGCTAGGAAAGAGGAATCAAGATATAACAACAAATGGACTTGAGATAAAATAGAACATGGGTTAACTTCAGTACACTGAATGAGATTAAATTATTATGATATTTCATAAGAAGAAAAATTTTCTAGAGAAAATAAGTGCAGATTTAATCTTCCATGGGTTTAAAGCATGATTTACATGCTGAAATTCACATGACTGGTTAAATATGTTTAATACAAAAATTAAAAATTGTTAAGACACTGGTTGAAGAAAATACTTTTTTTTTGAGAGAGAAATTAGTTCTTATACTATGATATTATTTTTCAAAATTACCAGGATAAAAAAAGGTTGCTAAAATTTAGATTAAATAAATGGCTCTTTGAGAGAGCAACAGAGCATCAGATTAGTAGAAAAGCAGTAGCTGTGACTCTGAACTAAGAGGATCATGCAGTAAAGGAAAATGCAACCCTAGAATATATAAGATATTAACCTGCATCTCTTTATGGAAGTATTAATACATGAGGTTCTGAGGAAATATAAGAAGGACAATTTTGATCATCACTATTCAGAAAGATTAATTCAAATCAACCTGACATTTGGAAAGATCAACATGATGACCAGGGAGGAAAGAAAACCTTTTGTTTGGGAGGCTGTTTGTAAAATTACAACTGCACATGAAATGAGTTTCTATTTTCCATGTTAATTCATGGATCTTGTTAGCAGTCATTTGAACCTCTATAAAAAGTAAAAAAGTGCAGATGTCTAATTCATATTGCAGATCTCCACACTTTAGATCTCAATCTGGAACTGAATCGCACCCTCAAATCTTAATTTAGTTCCCCAGATGTGAGTACACTTCATGATCTGACATAATCTGTGGGACAAAATTCCAGCTGGTGCATGACATGGAAATTAATTTCTTCATTGTTCCCACTTGCTGTGGGCTTGGCTTCTGAAATGAAGCTGCCTGAGCACCTGAACTTCAGTTGATACTAAACTAGAAGGGATGCTTGAGGAGTCAATTGCTTTTGAGATAAAAATGGGAATCCCTCTGTGGAGTGGAACTAGAGCTATTCCAAAGAGAAACTTCGGACAGTGTGAAGAGTATCAACTTTTTGCTTCTCCTATTGATCCATGCTACTTGCTCATGCAGAAATAGCCATTATACACCTGCACTGGGCTGACACACATTGCAGAAGACTTGTGAGAGGATATAAGTGCTTAAAGCACAGACATGGAAATCAGTTAGCCACAAGCTTCACTGCCAATGAAGCTGAAACCCCCCCAGAAATTAATAATTAAAAGCACTAAATTGAAATTGAATGTGATTTCAAAATGTGCCTTATATCTCTGCATATTATAATTTTTCACTCTGATTGTATCAGAAGTAGTGCAGCTGTTGGATGCCCACCTTGCAGCACCTGTACTTTTCTTGTCCAGAACATCAGCAAATTTGGACATATGTATTAGAAGCATTTCTATAATGTCAGTTTTGTTAATGACAGCATAATCCACTAAACTAGTTTGACAACTGCCATAAAATTATCGAAACATGAATGAGAGTGTAAATTTTTCTCTCTAAGGCTTCAGTATTTGACTTAGATTAACACTGGAAGGCTGCAAAATACTCAGCAACTATACTTTTCAGAAAAAAATTTCAAATTATTATTATTTCAACTGTAAAAATATTGCAGTCTATTCAAAGTTTATATTTACCAGTAACACTTTAGATTGGAAAACATACAGTACATTTGTTTAAACAAAAATGCATTAGCTCACTCAGATCAGGAATTTTATCAATTCTGTTCTTCTTTCATAAATGAAGTATGCACCTGGGAGGGTAAACCTTTGATAAAGAATGTGCTGCTTTATCTGGAAGGATAAAATTCCATGCTCTTTGCATATGAGATGTTGATGTGAATAGAAAGGTGTTCTCTGAGACCAAGTGTCTGTTAAGAAGATGATGGATGGAAATCAGGCTCATAAGAAATGCTGAATCTTTTCTTATAGCTGGTACTTGGACCTTTTTTATTTCGCAGTCTGAAATGCCTTCTCTTAATCTCCTGACTGATAGAGGGGTAAGGAACATGCTGATGGGTGTGAACAGAGTGTAAGGTCCCCACAAATGTGATTGACAAAGCTCAGCTTCCTTTAGGTTTCATGAGATTTAGACAATGGGAGTAGGATATGATATGTAAGAGTTGCTTGTATG